CTCTCTGCTGCTGTGACAAGAAGCCTGTTCCCTTCAACCAGTCCAGTTTCCCAAGACCTTAGCAATTCGCTCATACACACACATGGCTAGTGCTTTCCTGTCAAGTTGAGTCTCATACGGAACTGAGGTCTTACACCTTGATTCTGTAAAGCCAAATACTCCAGAACCACCACAGCCAGAACACTGAGACAGCCCATATATAACACAGGACTGGAGAAACCAGTATTTGTGCTAGCTCTGCTGTTGATGTTGAGTGATCCTGGGCAAGTATCTGTGTTTCTCAACCTCAAGAGCATCATAGAAAACCTGGAGTGTAATGAAAAGATCCTAGAGGCTCTCACCACATTCAGTATTCTCTAATTCTGCGAAACTGAAACAGTCATAACCATTAGCAGAAAATCTTCTCCTGGCCCATGGTATAAAGAATTTCTCAGAAGTCCTGGGAGAAAGAATCTATGAGCAAAAGTTTTTCACCTCTTTTAGTTTATATGAAAGATGCTTTATATGAGCATGTCACTCTTTAGGGGCTGTTCAACCAGGGGCCATGGGACTATTCTTCACTAAACTAAAGATTTAGCACACATAACCACAGCACCAGCAATAGTCCCTGCTGTATACTGGTGCCTACCATGTACTCAATGTACTGAACCATTCGAATCTATCTTATTCTAGCCATGCTCCCAATACAAATGCAAATATTGCATGAAATCCACTGGCATGGTCATTTTGAAGCCCATAATTTGAAGAATGCCAATGTAGAGGTCCTAAGAGAGTATAAGTGCATTATAGGAACAGTGACACCAAAGGCACCCAGTAAGAGAGCTCTGGCAAAGTGGGGCACAGGAGTATGGCTGATGCAATAGGAAGAGTTTATGACAAAAAGGAGGTCAGATTCATCTCTGGCCTGTTCTTTGGCTGTCCCTCCATCAGGTCTCCCCTGTAGCTGGGAAGAGCCTCATGTGTCCTGTACTGACTGGACATTTTCTTGGTGACCTTCTAATTCTGTGCCAGGCCTGTCAGTCTCTACTATTGAATTTACCAGCTCTCTGGACTGATTCTGCCTTTCTTCAGGCAGGTGAACTGAGCACTCGAGTTCTGCACGTGTAAGTCATCATTACAATAAGTAAATGACTGAGTGACTTTCAGTTAGGTGTCAGAGCTCTGACTGCTGCCTTGGGCAAGCACAATCTGCCTCTCATCAGATGACTTTTCCCTAGGGAAACCAGTGCTATCTGTGCCTGGGTGACTGTGAGGTCTCAAAACCAGAAAACTGTCACCTGTGGATTCAACTGGTTGCTCCAAGTACAAGATTTACAGTTTAAGTGAAAATGCTATAGACTTTCTTCTTAAAATGCCTAGCAGATTTGATTCTAGTTTTTAATTTGTGAGTAGCACAGAGGTTATTCCAAAAATTGTATTCAGACCCTTCTTCCAAGTTGTGGGGATAGTACCAATAATATCCACCCACTGTGACTTCTGAAGACCATGATTCCCACCCTCAGTATCCACACCCTGGGGTCAGTTTCATGCTCTGTTATGCCTCCAATCTCTCCAAATCAGGAACTACAAAGGGACTCAGGCAGCTTCTGCATTCAGTAGTAACTTTCATTGGTCTCTTCCAAATGGGCAGACTCAATGATATCCCTCCGAGGCCTCTTACTCTACCCAGTTCATCCTACATAGATTTGTCCTTCTTGGGGACAAATCCTGGTCAGTCCAGCTAAACTTGAGTGTTGAAAGAATCACTGGTGGCCTCCAAGTTCTGAGCAAATCACTGGGTCAGAACTATCCCCATTTGCGGCCCATCAGAAGTCTCAGGCTTAATCTCCAATGGCTAGGAGGGCCACCACTGACCTGAAGGATGCTAGGAGAAGTGTGCAGCTCTCTAGGAAAAGTCACTATAGCTGAAAGTGGTGATCTGGCCACCGAACAGCAGGTGAGACCAGATAGGTGGGAATCTGGGGGAAACAAGCTAGAGAGATTCTTATACAGGCTTACAGATACCAGGTTTCAAGGCAAGCTCTGTCTCAGGACAGATGGTAGGAAGAATTTCTACACTGTCAGTATACTTGACAGATGGCAGGATGAATTTCTCCCCTGTCAGCACATCTGAGTTTCTCTGAAGGCTTCCACACCATGCCAAATCAGGCAGGGCTGCCTACATGACATGCCTCTTCCCCTTTCAAGGCTGAAAGGTCCAATCCTCACTAACGAGTCTCCTAGGACTGGCCTCCAGGGACCTCTACCACAGACACAAGCACCACCCAACATAGAGTGAGTGGGCTTGGAACGTTTTACCCACCCCATACCCAAGGATACGACAGCATGCTCCTTGGTGCACACAGCTCCCTCAATCATAACCTTTCCTCTTGCACATGCTTGGAAATCCCTGGACTGAATTTCATGAAGGCTCAGTACTATGAAACCTTATAAGCACTGGGGTGCTGTAGGGTCTCAATGGACAGCAGATCTAGAAATGTACTGTCTTTTCCTGCAGACAATTCAGCCTGGAGAGTAGTGCCACATGCTTTAAAAAGAATCGCCACATCTAAGATGGAGCTACCCCATAGTAGGTATGAAACCAGCTGATATATGCCCAAAGTTAGTGAAGTTTGCCTGTTTGTGGTCATGGGCCAACAGTAGGCACTGGCACAAGTCTCACCTCCACCCATCCCCGCTTGGCTCTTCTCCTGCACCTGCTTCTGGCAGATCACACAAATTTATGGGATTTAACCACCTTGGCCTCAGCTCTTTTGCTACAAATGGCAACTGCGGATGCTTTGTACTTTGCTGCAAATTAGGAAAAACTCACCTGGGAGCACAGAAGGGGAAAAGCATTCACAGATGTTTTTGTAGACCAGTGTGATTTTTTGCTTGTTTGTTTGTTTGAAAGGTGAGAATGAAAAGGCACACACAACATTTGGAAGAACCATGTGCTCCTGTCTTAGAGTTTTCTGAGCTTCTGGGCACATGCCCATCCAGCTTCATATAGTCCAGTTTACCTTCTACCTGGGCACTCCATGGCTGGCCCCTCATGTGTAACCAGCACCCCATGGTGGCTCAGTGTGCCAGGCCCCAGGCTTGCTGGAGCTGGAACATTGTTGGTCTGGGCATTTCTGTTGACAGGAAGCTTGGGGAAAGTCAGAGGAGGAGAAGGCTGCTTCATGTAAGCAGGGTGCCAAGAGGCCTCCCAGTGAGCATAGATTCTACTGCCTCTTGCTGGTGTAGGAGGGTTATTAGCAGGGGGTAAGCCTGGCCCTCCAGTGAAAGAGAAACATCTAAGACAAAGTGATTTTCAAACAGACGTGGAGATACAATACCAAGTAGTCACTGCCCTCTATCTCCGATGGGGTTAATCACCAGTAAACACCAGTTTCACCAGGGAAGCACAGCTTTTCCAGCCTTGTAAATGCTTCTTCCTCCACAGAAGCTTGGACAAAAGCAGCAAGAGGTACTGAGGACCCAGTGCCACCTGGAGGTCCTTGAAGAAAGCTTGCTTATGGCTTGGTACACCAGGCTCCTTTTGAGAACTGGGGTGAGCTCACCTGTGATCTCCAGAGAGGCATGGCTTCTAGAGGGCCAGAGGGTCAGCACTAATCTCACTTGAATGTGTCTGAAATTCAGGTAGGTGCTCGGGAAAACTTTGGCCAACACATGAGGTCCAAACTGATTTTACATGGGAAATCTTTAGAAGAAGAATCCCAGAGTATGGGAAACCAACAATGAATGACAGCTGATCAGAAGTTCCCTATCCAGAGTGAGACACAGCTTGAGAACTGGGGAGCAGATTACTGAATTTCACAGCAGTGTGTGTGTGTGTGTGTGTGTGTGTGTGTGTGTGTGTGTATGTGTGTGTGTGCGTGTGCGTGTGAGTGCACACTCATATCAGGGCTTGAACCCAAGGCCTGGGCACTGTTGCTGAGGATCTTTTATCCAAGGTTAGCACTCTATACTTGAGCCACAGCTCCATTTTTGGATTTTTTTGAGTAGTGTATTGGAGATAGGAGTCTCACAAACTTTCCTGCCCAGGCTGGCTTTAAAAAGAGACCCTCAGATGTCAGCCTTCTAAGTAGCCAGAATTACAACTGTGAGCCACTGTTACCTGTCAGTTTCAAAGTAATTTTGAAGACAATGTGAACAAAGCCTTGAATACCTTCCTTATCACAACTAATTTTTATACAGATTACATGTTCAAACAAAAGTATATGAGAATATCACATTTAGTAGAATACACTATTAAAATAATTTCACCTTTTCATTTGACTATTAATTAATTTTTAAAATATGTGGCTACTAGAAAAATTTAATTACATTTGTTGTGTATATTTCTTCTGGGTAGCACTCATTTTGAAAAGTGGATTCTAATTCTGACTAATCCAGCCTCTAGTTAGCTGGCTAATGAGGCCAGCTCATTGGCTCAGATTTCTTTAATGAAATCAGCCCAGTTTCTTTCCTTTCTAGCTAAAAGGAAAACTGAAAATGCTGTCCACATAGACTGTGAAGTTGGCTTCCTCTTGTCTTTCTCATTACTTCTTAGGAAACAGGCCTGACCCATATGGTTGAGCAGGTTGTAGATTGTACAAGAATGACACCAATGAAGGAGGGGTGCTATTCTCACTAAGTCCATACAGATTTATATATTTATTACTATAGTATCCTGGCCTACAGCCATAACAATCTTATTTTAACCCAATTATTTTCAATGATTTATGATAATTTTCCAGCCAAAGAATTAAGATGTGTTGAGGAGGGGGAACATCATTTTCTTATTGGCTATGAGAACTGCAGGGGGCTTCTTTTGGCACTGGAAGTACCTTGAGGCTGGCTTTCATTTCTGTCAGAAGCATGGTGCACCTAGGCTTGACCTAAGACAAGACCTCAGTGTTCATACTCAAGTCTCAATTGTGCAAAACACCACTGGCATCTGTGCCAAAAGATCACAACAACCCACCTCCCCAAAGAAAACCCTGGCCAGCCCAGAGACTAGGATGGACATTTACCTTTTCATTCTTCTTGTCCTCTGACTTGCACCCTGCGTTGGTGGGGCTGGGTGCACACAGGCTGCTGACGGGTCCCCCGGCAGCTTCCCCATTGAGGTTGGCAGCATTGACATTGGGAGGGGTGATGGCTGATGCTGCAGATGTGAGGGGGATAGCCGGCCGGGGGCACATCTGCATCGGAGGCTGCTGGCTGTGCTGTGGGGACACCATGGAGTGGGGCCTGAGGCTGGTGGCAGATAAGCGGGATGGAGAGTTTTGAGTACGCAGAGGTGACACGGTAGCAGTGGGTCGATCCTGGGCCTGGGCTGAGGGGTGGGTGGCTAGAGAGATGAAGGATTGAAATGTTAGTGTGAACCGTATTATGCCTCTACCGCTCCACATCTCCCCAAGCCTACTTTCCAGGAAAGACAAAGTTCCCTCGAAATCAAGTACTACATATTGACATCGGTCCTGTTCCTATTTGTGCTTGTGATTGATTTTTGAGGAACTGGCTCCCAACTGTATACAGATGAGAACAGCAGTCAATGGAGGATAATGACCTATGACCTGGGCTGGGCTGACCCAAGCAGAGACAGTTCCTTATGTCAAGAGCCTCAGCATGGTGATTTTTGCATTTTTCTAACAAAAGAAGTATAGATCAAATTGTGATTATTATGTACTACCAGGGTTTGTGGCATTCCTGTTTTCTGAGGATAGAATCAAGTACACACAACGTAAAGGAAAATATCCCCAGCTCCCCCTCCTCAAATGTCTTGACTATAGAATGTACTTGTGAATCCTAGCAGTGTTCATAGAGCAGGAAGCTCCTACACACCGCAGTCCTCTATCTGTGAGTTGCCCTTCTTCTCCCAGAGCAGAGTAGGAAGAACTAAGTGGCCCTCTCTACCAGGTGAAATTTTTTAAACTGTCTGAGTTATGATTTAAGGGCAATTATTTGAAGTTTTGGACTTAGTGTTGGAGCCTGCCCACAATACGTGACCCAACATTTAATAGGAGGAGCAGGTCATACAATTATGCCAATCAATGAAGCCTCTAGGGTCCTTCCATCACCCCATAATCCCTTACTGGGTCATCAGCTTCTTAGATAATTTATGTGCCTCTGCCCTGCAGATGAACTCTCCTTCACCCCAGCCCCATCAGCCCTGGAATGGAAATAATACCAACCAGGCAAGAGCCATTGCACTCAGCCTCAGAAACTCAGTCTTCAGGGCTACTCAAGACTTTCCTGTCCAAGGGCTCTACATAGATCACCCTCACAGCTTCTGTGTGGCCACTGTGTCACCCTTGCTAAACCCAACATAAGCAGTGTGGCTCATGCTTACAATGCTAGCTACTCAGGAGGCTGGGATCCAGAGACCCACAATTTAAACTCAACCACTGGCAGAGCAGTCTGAGAAATACCACCTCTAATTAACAAGCAGAAAGCTAGGCTGTAGGCATCATTCCAGTAGTAGAATGCCACTTGTGAGCAAGCAAGCCAAATGAACATGAGGCCCTGAGTTAACACCCTAGTCCTGTCAAAAAAAAAGAGGGAAGGAAGGAAGGAGAAAGAGAAAAAGAAAGGAAGGAAGGAAGGAAGAAAACAAAGAAAAAAAGAAAGAAAGAAAAGAAAGTGACATAAACCTAATGCAGAAAGAAGCTAAGATGTTGTTCCACAAAGTTCTGAGCCCACCATCATATCATATCTGTAGCTCTCATCATCTACTCTCCCTTCAGCCACTGTGGCTTCCTGGTGGATCAGCTGGCCCTCTTACTTCAGAGATTGGTGCCAACATGCATGTCTACACGTTCCCCTAGAAGCTAGCAGAGATTCTCCAAGGATTTCACTAAGCTCGGGCCCCATCTGCCACCATCTAAAAAGACTGTCTAGAGAAACCTGCTCTCTGCAACCTCCACTTCTCACTCTAGCTTTCTTCTCTCCTGAGGCAGTGTCTCTTAATAGTCTGGGTAATTTATCTGTTTATTATATGTTGATTAATTTTACATGGTCTAGCCCCTACTACCACACAAACTCCAGGAGGGTAGGATCATGGACCATCAAATCACTAATTAAATACATCCCATGCCTCTGGAATATAGGAAAGTGCTCAGTACAGTTTTGAGTAAATGAGTGATTATGTGAAAGAGGAAGACCCCCCCGCTTGAACATCATTACACTTTTCACACAATTGAAATTGTAGAGAAGTAAAAGTGTCATGAGAGGACAGTTTATTGTGTGCCCTGGCAGAATTCCAGAATCTCATGGTCATCTGTGGGATTTACCATTGATTTCCCACATCCTGTGTTCCCAGGCTGTGCCTTCCTAGACTACCATACCACTAATGATCCTATGCATTTGTGATGCCTAACCAGACTGCTTGTTCTTTGACAAATCAGATCAACAGGTAAAGGCTGGTTGGAAAAGCATTATTTCACAGTCTCTTTCCTTTCCACTGGTCTTCCAAGTATCAGTGTGCAAACTATAGCTATGCTATGAAGCCATGGCATCAGTCCACACTCAGTTTCCTGCTCTGTCCTTGGTACCTGGGGTCATGCAGAACTCATTCACTTCTGGAGAGATCTCAGTGGTTACGCCTTTGAACCTTTTCTCTCTCCCATCTGCTCTGTTTTCTATTTTCAAAACTCTTGCTAGAATTAAATGGGGTTCATCAATTCATCTTTAACGTTTACACTTCCTATTTTTCATTTCTGCTTGATGATTTGAATAGATTACTCTGTACAAATATCCAGTGTTATTAATCCCATCTTCAACTATGCCCTCTTATAAATGATTTTCTTCTCCTAAATTTCACCTTGACCTTTTTTTCCCATCCAGCTATTTCTGATTCATGGACATTCAATGTGCCCCTCCCCCTACACTTTTAGCAACCTGTATTTACTTTTTGGAGTGGTTATTATTCATCGTTTTTTTGTCTTATAAGGTCTTAAACATTTATTTCTAGATATTTCTAGAATTTATCTCTATCTTTTGTTGGTTTCTTAGGCTTACTGGCTGTCTTTATGTGATAGTATCCTTCCTGTACTTTGAAATCTAGTATGCTAGCTCCCTTTTGATGCTGAGGGTCTTGACACTGTTGCCCTTCATCTTTCCCCTGGGTCTGGAGGTCAAGTTTTGGTCTTCTGCTTGGCCTCTCAGAATCAAGTCCAGTCCTGTAGGGGAAGCATGAGGTTTGGTTCTCAGGCAAGGATCATGTTTTTCTCTTTCACACTCCAGGCAATGGTTGGTACTGAACATCTCTGGAAGAAACTGCAGCTTCTAGAACTGGTACACCCAGCCGTTTCCCTGCTACTCTTGGAAGTCCATCTTCTCCAGGAGATAGAAGTCAGCTAATACTGCTAGCTCTCCATCAGAGCCTGGTAGTTTTATTGTTTATTGTTTTAAAGGAATCTGCATTCTGATTTCCATAATGGATACAATAATTTACTTTCCCTCCAGTCTACAAGGGTCACTTTTCTTGATTATTTCCAGCATTTGTTGTTGTTTTGTTGTTAACAGCTATTTTGGCTAGGGGTGATATGAAATCTCAGTAACATTTTGATTTGTATTTCCTTTATGATTAAGGATATTGAACATTTCTTCATTCATTTATTGACTGTGTATTTATTCTTTTTTTCCTTTTTTCTTGTGAAAATACTGTACAGAGGGGTTACAATTACATGGAAAAGATAATGAGTACATTTCTTATCAAACATTGTAGCCTCCTCCTTTGTTTCCCCTTCCCATCCCTTCCCATCCTCCTCCCCCCCCACCCCCACTCAATCCTCCCTGTATTTATTCTTTTAACAACTATTTACTTAATCCATATACCTATATTAATTTTTTGGTGTTTATTTTTGAGTAACTCAATTTCTTTAGTAGATATAGACCTATTAGAACTATTCCTTGCTGAGTAAGTCTGATTTTTGTCTGTAAGGAATATTTAATATGTCCCTTTCATCTGCTTCGTTGATTTATTCACCAGAAACATTAAAAAATCCTTTGTTATCTTCTACAGTATGGTGATATCAATATCACTTCCATTATTAATGTGTAACTTTTCCCCTTATGCTTTGTCTATCTTGTTAAAGGTTTATCAATTTTATTATTGATCTTCCCAAAGGACTACTTTCTGGTCTCATCTTTATTCTGCTATTTTCCTGATTTCTGCACTTCTACTTTTATTTTCTCCTTTTGGTACCTTTGCTCTTTTTATTCTAGTTTCTTCAGGTAAAACGACAGCCATTAATATCATCTCTTTGTTTTCTACTTTAGTGTTCATTGCTATAAATTTCTCCTCAAGGACTGTATCAATAGCATTCCATGGTTTTTGATATGCTATGCTTTCATTTCATTCAGCTCAAAGTGCTTTCTAATCTGCTTTTCATTTCTTCTTTGACCCATGGATTATTTTGAAGTATGTTATTTAGTTTTCAAATGCTTGAATATTTCAAATATTGGTAATTATTTGTTATTAATTTCTAGTCCAATGCCACCATGGTCAGGGGATGTAGTTTGTGTAATCTGAATCCTTTCAAACATTTTGAGATTTCAGTATGATGGCTCAGAGTACAATACAACATGATCGAGGTCCTATACTTTTACTGATTGTTGATAGACTATTGAGAGAAATATTGAAATCTCTGGTTACAAGTATGGATTTGTCTATTTCTCCCTGCTTTATCTGCAAGTGTTTTTGTTCTTTGAAGTTCTGTTATTTGGGACCTATTTAGGATTGTTATGTTCTCTTAATGAACTGACCCTTTACTACTTTGAAATTGTCTATTTTATCTACCTGGGCTGGCTTCAAACAGTGATTCTCAGAACTCAGCCTCCTGAGTAGCTAGGATTATAGGTATGAACCACCAATGCCTAGCATATTCCTTTTAGCACTTCATTATTCTACTGGTTTCTTACTCAAAGTATTCTTGACAAGAAATCTATTGTCATTCCTCCCCACTACTTTTTTTTTTTAAATCATCTATGATTTTTTGAAAAAAATCATAGATTTTCAACAATTTGGTTATGACTTCTCTATGCTGTTATTTCATCCATGTTTCTTTTGCCTGGGGTTTCATGGCTGTCTTTGATTTGTGACTACACAATTTTAATCAAATTTAGAACACTTGTAGTCATTACTTCTTTAAAATTATTTTTAAGAATCTCTTTTTCCCCTACTTTGGTGGTTTCAATTATGTGACTATTGAGACAATCAAAGTAGTCCCACTTTTCACTGTTGTGCTGTTCATTTAAATTTTAACCTTTGTTTTCATTTTTCATAGTTTCTATTACTATACCTTCACATTCACTAGTATTTTTTTCTTTAGTAATACCTACTTGATC